TGAATTCTGCCTTGGTGGAACAGGGGGCGCTTGAGGATGAGCAAGATTATTTTGACTAGAACTGAGCACATAGCATCGATGTGGTACCCTTGGAGAGGGTGTGCTAGGAGGAGTGTTTGGAGAATTGGGACATGTACTAACGTCTCTGAACCAGTCTGGGTCTCTATGAAGATGTCCCAGTGCAGGTGGCTGAAGAGTAAACGGACAGTTTATAAAGCGTTCTGGAGGCCGAAGGGGAACTGGTGGAGGGGTATTGGGAAGAGGATCTCTCGGCGGCGGCGGTGGTGGACTATGCAGAGGCCCGTCAAATGCACCAGAAGGAGCAGGAACTCTGGGTTTTACCTTTGGAGGAGGAGGCTGTCTTGGCAGAATAGCCGGGGGGGCCATCATCAGATTTCATAGTCCCCTTGGAATTTGAAGCATCATGATCAAATTTTTTTCGAGAAGGAAGTGGAGGAGGAATCAGTGGCCCTTCACTTAGTTCATGTAAACTACCACGCGAACTAAAGAAAGACTTTGAATGAGGCAAGACGACTGGAGCAAAGATGCTATTGCTTCCACAGGAACTGTTGAGATCCACATCTAAAAACACACGAAGGTCTGAAGAAGCAGATACTGGTGGAGTAGATGGTGTATTCAGAGAGGTTGGTGCTGACACTGTTTATTCAAGCTCTGTTTCAGCAATCCGACTAAAGCTTATTTTACGTGGTTCTCTTTCTAATGGTGTTGGATGACCTAGTAAAGTACCTGAGGTAGAGCCATGTCGGCCTGTATTAGGCCTTATTCCAGGAGATTTTAAAGAGAAAGTTGATTTCCTAGGAAATCGAGGTGGCTGTTTGCAGTTTCGGGGTTCAATTTCTAGTGACTTGTTGAACAAATAATCTGTAAACTCGTTTTCAGAAGCATTTCCCATGGGGTTAAGGTTTTCAAAGAACCTTCTCATTTCTGGTTCTATCCGTAAACAGTAAGGCTGATTCTGATATTGCTGAATTTCTCCAGTAATTTCAGCTACTTTTTTCCTCTTACTGAAATTGATTAAATCTTTCCCTTTCTTTTTTAAAAAATCATTATTCCCTTCTTCAGTCTTCAGAATATTTGTTAAATATATTCCAAAAAAAGACACACAAGGTGGACTGATTGACTTAAGTTTCACTAGATATTTTTTAAAATAATCTTGACTTAATTCCACAGCTTCATCCAAAATTTTCCTTTTTCTTTCCTCAAAGGTATGATCTTATCTACAGACTGATACTGAATTTATTGCACTGACGATCTCTACTACACCACTGAAATTATTCAAATCTTGAAAAACTTGCAGAATTTCTATAATTCTACTTAGTACTGCCACCCGTTCCTCAAAATTTTCTGCTTCCACAATGCACTTTTCAAACCAGAGAGTGAGATTTGTGGTGTGGCGAATCATTTTTAATAAATTTGGAGAATTTATTTCTTTATCTTCTTTGGTCCATACACTCCCTACAAGTTCAGAAGGTTGAACTTTCCTGTAGAGATCAGATTCCAGAAGTATCAGCTGATGTGCAATTTCTATTGGATGAAGTGTCATGAGATCAAATGTTTCAAACTGTCCTGGTCTGCTGATATGCCATTCAATTGGTGGAGGTGGACTTCCAAAGCTAATATTATGGCTTATTCCATTTGCCTGAGCTTGTTTCTTCCTCTTGATGATCTTAGCAACTGACTCTACCCATTTCTTCATAGCTTTCCCTCTTACACTTGAAATGAAGGATTCTAGTCTTTCAAGCAACTCCAAGTCTCTTCAAAGTCATAAAAATGGTGTTCAACCCTGTGCCGAAACACATTTAAGATCCTAAGTTGTACTGGCTGGACGTATTCCTCGCGAAACCTTTTAAGGTCTGCACTGATTGGCTGCTCGCCTTTCTCTACTGCCAATTTATCTGCTTCACTAGGTTCTGGCTCTGGAATTTCAAATCGTTCAATCAGTAAGCTTAGCAATTCCTGTGGTTTACAAAATGAACGATACGTAGTAAGAAAAGTGCGAACAAAACTGGGATCTGCATACATGTGATGTGTTAACCTTTCAATTAATTTCACCACAGTTCCTCCTTTAATAATGGGGATTCCACTTCTACTCTGCAAGTTGTCTTCAAAAACAATGTTTTCCTCAGAGTCTTTTACCACAAAACGATACACTTCAGGACTCGGTAATCTAAGTGGTTGCTCATTTTCTTCCTTCAATAATACTGAATCTAGCATTCGATGTAGAGTACTATGATAATGAAGAGAAATAAGTGCTGCCATCCAGTTATTTTTCTCTTCAGCAAACTTAGCAGCAAATATTATGCTGTTTTCATCTTTGGATACTAATTCAAAAGCATGTTTGCACTCACAAGTATCTTCTTTATCACATTTGTATTTTCCTCATGACAAATTTTTCTTTTAATCTGTATTCTCTACTACTGTATCCTGGAAGGTGTGACTGGCTGTGACTGAGTTTGTGGCTAATCATTAAGCCATCAAAGAGAAAAATATGCCGTTCATGTTTAGCACCAATTCTTGTCAATGGGCCTTCCATAATAAATTCATTACAACACTGTCCAATATCTTTGCCTTCCCATCCATCTATGTTTTTCTGAATTTCATTCATTTTTTTAATAGCCAGGTGCTTGCTTCTTAATTGACGATTATAAAAAGGGCAAACAGGATCCCCAGGTCAGCGTCTAGGTGAATACTGCTTGTAAATTCGGTCTACACTACCTTGGAGATTCATGAGAGCAGTAACAGCTTGGTTCAAACATTCTCTGTCTTCATGCTCTTCACTACATGCTTTCAATTGCTTTAATAATTCAGAATAGTGCCAACAATGATATACTGGCACCAGCATAAGGCGTGGAAGGACATAACGAACTGCCTCTTTAAAACCATCAGCAATGGACTGAAAGTGCAGAGCCACTGCAGGTCTGGCCATCAACTTACTGAAATGTTCATGAAATTTTGGTGAAAGAATATCCTGTGATAATGTTTCATAAGGATCAAATGCTTGTTCCTCTGCCAAATCTTCAAAACAGCTTCCAGCTAAGGGATGAGGGCTGCTTTCATCAGTCATTTCAACTGTGTCTTCAATTAAACCCAGAAGTTTCACAGTCAATTCATGTATAGCTAAAATGTTACTGAAAAATTTTCAATATCAGAAAGTTTAGACAGCTTTCTGTCAGAAATAAAAGCTTCTCAAAACACTTTTATGATCATATTTAGTTCCCGTAGATACTTTCTTCTGCAATTTCAGTTCTGACAAGGTCATAGTAGTTTAATTCACCTGAAGAACTAGGTTCATCTTCACAAAGAGAAACCAAGCCTATGTCATCCTGATCAAACATGTCCATCAAAACCTTATCTGCAGGGCTTCCTTGGTGGCGCAGTGGTTGAGAGTCCGCCTGCTGATGCAGGGGACACGGGTTTGTGCCCCGGTCCGGGAAGATCCCACATGCGGCGGAGCAGCTGGGCCCGTGCGCCATGGCGCTGGGCCTGCGCGTCCGAAGCCTGTGCTCCGCAACGGGAGAGGCCACAACAGTGAGAGGCCCGCGTACCGCAAAAAAACAAAAATAAACAAAAAAAACCTTATCTGCACACATTGACACTTTAATATCCTGTTGGGATATTTCATAATGTCGGATATTAAATACATAATTATCAGCCAATTTCAAAATATCAGCTGAGATATACTCTAGTACAGCCACAATATACAGGGACACATGGTAGTTCACTTCGTACCCTAAAACTTCCTTCAGTGAAGGATGGATTTTGTCCACAGGCAGTAAGAGGATTTCTTCGTTTTCGTTTCTCTATGGCAGACTATGCATCAGCAATAGCCCATTTAACCATTGGATGAGGAAAGGTCTTTTGAACTCGTTCCTCCACATCTTCAACAGTCCTTGGTTGGGCCATGCATAATTTATTAAGCAGCTGAAAAATCAGCTCTTCAATATAATAGAGAGACTCTTCATTCGCTGAGAGATTGGGATGTACTTGCTCCTGAACCTTCCGCAGGGCCGAGACCAACAGTCCCCGCCATTTCGGACTGTTCTCCTCGCTGACGAACTCGTACGGCTGCGGCGCCTGCGGCATGGCCCCGGCGGCAGCGCCTCCGTAGCGGGGGCGGCCTGCGGGCCGAAACGGGCCGGGCCGATGGCCTGACAGGCAGGGCGTGGGCCGCCTCGCCTCGCCGGCCGCCGCCGCCTCCTGCCCGGGCCGCGGCTACGGCCGAGTTGGCTCGGAGGCGGAGACGGCGCCGGCGGGCGGGGGCTCCGGGGGCAGCTTCCTCGGCTCCGCGGCGTCGCCTAGTGCAGCGTCCGCAGAGGAAGCGCTGCGGCCCGTGAACCCGGGCGGCCTCCTTTCCCCGCGGCGCTGGCCTGCTTCTCGGGCGGCTCCTTCTCCTCTGGGTTCGCAACCCGGCAGGGGTACAGCTGGCCTCTCCCCTGCTCGAACTTCCGCTACGGCGGCGGCAGGCAGAGAGCGGCGGCGGCTTGTCTCCTCATCGCCTCATCTCCGCCCTCCCAACCGGCACCACCGCCCTGCCCGGCCCACCCGAGTCACCTCCAGAGGGCCCTGGGGACAGACCAGGCGCGCGCGTCGGGCGAGAGAGCCACACTGGCGCGCGCAGTGCTGGCCACCACCACCTTCGCCGCCGCCCCTTCAGCAGCCGCGCACAGCGCCCCAGGGCCGCCGCCAAGCCCCGGGCCCCAGCAAGCGCGGCTCGGCCAGCCCCTCCGCCCCGCGCTCATGACCCCGTGTCGCTGGAGCAGCCCCGCACGGAGCATGCGCGCCGCGGAGCGGGCCGGAGCTTTTGTTTTTGTTTCAACTCGGATGATGACAGCCATACATCTCAACAAAGAACGTTTCTTTGCAGCATCCACTAGGCTTGGTTTCTATAGCGGGTTTCATTCCTTCAACACATATCTTTAAAAGAGCCAACTCAGCATTTCCCGGAACCCTGGGACTGCATGGGACAGGTGGGGACGTACCTGCTAGCATCAGAGCTCGGATGCACTCCGTTCGGCCCTGCATGGCGGCTTTCATCAGGGCCGTGAAGCCAAACACGTTCCTCCTTTCAAGGTCAAGACCGGGGAAATAGTTCAACAAGTAGTTGGTGATGGTGACGTGCCCTGCAAAGAGAAATGCACACATGTATGGACCACACTCCACAAAGAGCGGGCATTCCAGCGGCCTTCCTACACAGACGGAGGGAAACGTGGCATGGTCCACCGCTCTGGGCTGTGTGTGTGTGTGTGTGTGTGTGTGTGTGTGTGTGTGTGTGTGTGT